ATGCGGGCCTCTCACTGTTGTGGCCTCTCTCGTTGCGGAGCACAGGCTCCGGACGCGCAGGCTCAGCGGCCATGGCTCATGGGCCCAGCCGCTCCGCGGCATGTGGGATCTTCCCAGACCGGGGCACGAACCCGCGTCCCCTGCATCGGCAGGCAGACTCCCAACCACTGCGCCACCAGGGAAGCCCTAACAATGTCTTTTTATTTCTAAGTTGAATTCAATTAAAAATCCATTTAACAAAACGAATGCCTAAGGTTTAGTAAATTAGAGGAGTTCACTCCTGGTTTTGATATCCATTTCAGCTTGGTGCCTGTGAGTGCCCCCAAATGAGGTATTAGCAAAGTTGGTAGGAGGTGTCTGGTGCCAGGCCTGAGACTAGGGTGAGGGAAGTGATGCACCTGCCTTGGGTACAAAATGTAAGAGGTGCCCAAACACTCAGTAGTCAAAACAAATAATACTTTAATGCAATTTTAAAAGATCAAAATCAATGCTAAAAATTCATGATGAACAAAATATCAAATTTTTATATAAAAACAGGACTGATGTTTTGACAATCAAATGTCTCATGCCAGTCCTGAGCCTGCCTGGTCCATAGTAGATGGTCACTAAATTGCCATGTCTATTCCTTCTCTGCTGCTTACCTGTTCTTCTTCCTGTTTCATCAAGGGCTGTGTTGTCTCACCTGGTAGCCCTGTGTCTCCTGAACCCTTGAACTGTAGCTAATTGGAACTGAGATGTGTTGTAAGGGTAAAATACACAGCAGATTTCAAAACCAGTACAAAAAAAAAAAAAAAAAAAGAATGTAAAATATCTCAACTTTTTTATATTGATTACATGTTGAAATGATACTATTTATTTTTTAAATTGAAGCATAGTTGCTCTACAATATTATATGTTATAGGTGTACAGTACGACACAGTGATTCACACTTTTTAAAGGTTATACTCCACTTATAGTTATTATAAAATATTGGCTATATTCCCCGTGTTGTACAATATATCCCTATAGCTTATTTTATACCTAACAGTTTGTACCTCTTACTCCCCGACCCTTCCCCCCTTCCCTCTCCCTGCTGGTAACCACTAGCTTGTTCTCTATATCCGTGAATCCTTTTTGTTATATTCACTAGTTTGTTGTAGTTTTTAGATTCCACAGATGAGTGATATCATACAGTATTTGTCTTTCTCTGACTTATCTCACTTAGCATAATGCTCTCCAAGTCCATCCACGCTGCTGTAAATGACAAAATATTGTTCTTTTTTATAGCTGAGTAGTATTCCATTGTGTGTGTGTGTGTACCATATCTTCTTTATCCATTCAGAAATGATACTATTTTAGACGGAATGAGTAAACAAAAATATATTATTAAAACTAATTGCATCTGTTTCTTTTTATTTTTTTTTAATGTGGCTACTAGGAAAACCTGGAATGACATATGCGATTCACATTATATTTCGACTGAACAGAGCTAATTTAGACAAAGGTACGAAGGCATTAGGCAGTGGGGCTACCACCTCCCTCCGGAGGCCTTTCCCAACCACAGCCACACGTGGGGTTTCTCATCCCTGAACACCCATGGAGCCTGGCACTCAGTTATAAAATGCTTAGCGACGTCATTTAGATTGTGAAGAAATTAGCTTGAAGCCTCAGGTAGATTGCAAGTAAGCTTAAGAAACTTGTATGCCTCAAAACTTTTCTAGATTTTAAAATAAAAATAGACAAGCAAACAATAAACGAATGCATACCTATACGTAAAAGCAGTTGAGTCTTCGTTCTTCTCTAGTACTTAGCACCAAGCTACACACAGTAATATAAATATCTGAGACTTGTACAGCTCTTCCAAGGGTTTGACCACACTACGCCATCTGATATCATTTCATCTTTCTAACAAGCCTGTGGCACACACGGAGCAAGTGTTTTCGTCCAACTTTTACAGATGGGGACTCAGGGCAGTGGAAGAGTCAGAGCCTAAGCTCAAGTCTTCTAATTCTCGCCTAGTACTCTCTCCTCTGAATCAGATGGTCTCTCCTAGTAGGTGCTTACTGTCTGTAGGATGAAACCAATGAGTGCCTCTAGCAATTGCCAAATCTAAATAAGTATGAGAGAAAAAAAGTCCACGCCCTTCCAGTTTGCGAGGAATACGTACAAATACTTGTTAAAAGCCTTGCGCAGTTTGCAGTTCGGGGCGTTTGCACTGGACGTTTGCTTGTTAGATACTCACTCCCCTTTCTGCTGGTCAGAGCCCTCATTTTCTTTCCTCTCCTGCACTGGGCAGTGGTGTGGTACCCAATTCCTTTTCCTTGGCCCCGGAATCCTGAGCACAGAGCCTCAGGATGGAAAACACAGTAGACAGACGTTTTCTCCCAGGACGCACAGATGACCCATGGGCTCCTGTGACTTGGGTCTACAAAGCTTCCCCGGCCCCTGCCCCTTTCTTCTTTACAGGTTTCCTTGGGATCTGTAACCCACTTTACAGCCTTCTAAAACATTGCTCTTTTTACTTAAATTAGAGGTTTCTCTTGCTTGCAACCAAAAACCCTCTCATAGAGAAATCATAACCCATGAAGAAACAGAGATTCAGCTAACGTAACTTTCCCAGGACTAACCAAGAAGTGTCAGACCCGGGTTTAGACTCTTGGTAGCCTGACTTCATGTCCAAGGTCTTCCTTGAGTCTACACCTAAGTGAATGCAAAGGGATTTGTTAGAAGCTGGAGGAAAAAAAGAAATTTCAAAGGCAAATCCCTGTCTGAGCCAAGGCAGGTGCCTGCAGAGAGGGCCCCGCCCCCTCTCTAGTCCCAGAGCCGCCCTCCAGGGAAGGGGAAAGGACAGACTTCTCCAGGAGAAGCTGTGTATAATCGGGGCCCAGGATCCCAGCTTGGCCCTGCTGACCACCAGGGAACTAGAAGTAGAAAAAGCGACCCCAGGGTGAACGCCAGTTTCCTTGCACTCACAGAAAGCTGGGCCCGGTAGTCAAGAGCTGGGATTCATCACAGATTCAGAAGCCAGGGACCAACACTGCCAAGTTTTCTAACTGATGACGAAAATCGATGACCTTCCCAAGACTTTTTGTTGTTTTCACTGAGCCTTAGGTCATACACCTAGAGGCCTGAGTAATTCCAAGTCTAGAGCCTGCTTCGTTTATGTCTATGTATGTTTACTGACTTTGAAGATGACTTTTAAAATGTTTTCTTTACTGCTTACCCTGTAAGAACCTGATGTTTTAAAGGGAAATTGCACATGGATGTTCCCATCGCTTTCTGCCTCGTAACTTGACTTGGTTTCTCAATAAACTTCAAAAAGTCAAAGCCAAGGGTTCCCGAACCACAAAAACATTTCATTCCCTTGGCAGGCACAAAGGGTTCATGTCAGGTCACTCAGAGCTAACCAGGAGACTTCCCTCAGTCACCAGCCGTCCTCGGGCATGGCCGACACACAGCCTTTGCTGAGCCATCTAACTGAAGGGAGACAGTGCCACAGGGCTGTCAGGAGTGGCCTCCAGCTCTGCAGAGGCCATGAAAACCGAGGGGAGGGATGGCAAGGGACCTCCGTCTCAAAACAACATGTGACAGTCAGAGGAAACCCAAAAGGCTTCCCCTTCCAAGCACTCCTGTCACGCTGGTGACCCTAGGGAGGTCACAGAAAAAGGAGAGGGAGTTTAGTAACAAGAGCAACAAGTCTCGTTACCCAAATCTCCCGATAGCTGATCAACCATAGTCAGCTAGAGGCAGGGCGCTGTCCTGGTGAACAGCAGACTGAGAACAAGAAGTGATGGATTAGTGCTTTACTGTATCGGAGAAGACCAAAGAAGCTTCCAGAAACAGAAACCAAATTAAAAAAACAAAAAGGCAAAGCAAAATCGCAGGCCTAGACAATTAATTAAGGAACCATACTTGAAAGTACCTGGTATAGTCCCTGGTACTTAGTAGATACTAATTAATCCTACTGATTGATGTCAAACGCCCCAGGACATCACAGGCGCAGAATACAGTTTACTATTTGTTAATCACAATGATAGCCCTAGTCACTAAGAAAAGGTTGATTATGCCCCATGAACTGTTTAATGTGGCAGGAAAATACATAATTGATTTTACAGGTATTTCATTTAAAACCTTTTTTTAAAAGAAGTTCTTACTTCTTAAAACAAAAAAGAATTTTTAATCTCCTGAATGTTTAGGCAAAATCTCACCATCACAGAAGGCAAAAAATACGCCTGAGATAAGGAAACCAAAAGGAATAATTTTAATCAATTGGAAAACTAACATCTCTGCAATATCTAATTCCTCAGAGGTGTTGGATAAATTAGATACATTCAATACCACCATATAATCCAATGTCCCAAGTCA